TTAGTTGGTAGTTAATAAGTTAACTGGTGGTTGAAAAGCTAGCTGCAGCTGATAAGTTAGTTGATGAACAAATCATGTATGAAAAAATTAGCTGATAAACATGTAAAATTCAAAAATGGATATCTTGAAAAATTAGTCAATTATAATATTTTATAAAATAATTAAAACAAATATTCAATAACATAATATATTAATATAAACAAGATAGTAAAAAAAAAATTAAAATCATATAATATGTTAATTAAAAGAAGAGTAATTACATCGTTGGTCCCTATGGTTAGCTTAGAATCTAGAGATGGTCCCTATATTGAAATAAGTACAATAGGGCTCCCTATGGTTTGCATTTTGTTGCACTGGGGCTCCCTATGGTTTGCATTTTGTTGCACTGTGGGTCCCTACTACTAACGAAATTAATAAAAGTTTGTTAACTCAAGGAACACTTTGATCGTTTTAAATTTTTTTTGTAAAAACTATTAAATTTTAAACCGAACATGTGTCCCTTCTTCCCTCCTCCTTCACCCACAACCATATTGTTGCATCTCCGGTCATCTTATCCGATGAGCAAAACGGAAAGCAAAAAATTAAAAATAAAATTATAACCTGACTTTATCTGCAGCCCTTTCTTCATCTTTAATGCACATTAAGAACACCAAATCAAAAACAAGAACCAAGACGACAAGAGAGATGGCATTGTATTCATTGTATAAACAAGATTGTTTAACATACCCTAAACCAAACATAAAATGTCAAACTTGTTTGCACACTGATGAGGTTGGTTGTAGCAGAAAAGTTTGTTTATTCATTCACAAACCCAAAGAGTTTCACCCATTGCACACTTCCGTAGTTCCACGGTTCTGTAGTACTTTCTCTCCTATCAATGTCCACTGCTTCTCTAAGTTCCATAGCCCACATAACCAATAACCCATAGAGCTTCATCTCCATGAGGTGAGCCTCTGTGGTCCTATCAGCCACCCCCAAACGTAAATGTTCTCAGTAGCAGGTTTAATATTACCCAAATAGCCAAGATTTGGATTTTGAGGCCGAAATCATTAGGATTGACCACTATTGTCAACAACAACTGATCGATGAATTTGTAGATCTATCCCACCATCTAGCTGGAATAATTATGGTTTTCTTGGTGATCATTCACAAGAATATAACATATCGACTGGATCAAAACACAAAAACCTCAAGATTTTATCTTCTGCAGATCAAGGGAACGGACATGTTGATACGCACTAATCATTTAGTGCTAAACCACTCTTTTCTTCTCATGTAGATATGATCTTTTCCATTTAAATCCCAGCCTTGAGTTGTTTTACTTCATTATTCTCTATTTCTTTTGTTTTTAGAGTTAGAGATGATGATATACCTATTTTTACTCTTTAAGCTCGAAACCTTGCAAGCGGRAAAGCTTCTATCTCTTATAGAGAGTAAACATATGGGAAAGAGAACTAGTACGCTAATATGGACTTTTGGACAGGATTGGTGTAGCAGACTCATGTTGCAACATTTTTGTAGCAGCAAGCTGATAGAAGGAATCAGATGACTAAGGAGAGGAATGGCTTTTGGACAAACTTGGTGTCTCATTGTAACACCCCATTTCACATTTGCATATAATCCACATATTTCATATAACATGAAATTCAAATATACACATTGGTCTCAAATATATAATTTGCTACATTACAAAAGTAGCTACAAATTTTTTCCATATAATCCCACTACATGACTTGTAATCATAACAAGTTTTCAAATACAGATAATATAATATATTCCAAACTCCACATATGTAAGCAATCATAAATTTCTTCACAATTTCCCCTTTTCCTTATCTTCCGATTGTGTCTGACCTATAATGCACATTTTAAAACACAAAATAAGGTTAGACCATGAGGTATAGTGAGAAGTCCCTTTTGATAGTTATTACAAGGTGAAAATCACCAAAACACTTTTAAAGAACCCATATTTGTATAAATATCAAATAAATAGTGTTTTATCAAAACAAACATTTTTATCGCATCATATAGATGAGACAACTTCATCTTATCACATCAAACCCATTGTGGTATCAAACTTGCCGCATTAAATAAACAAGTAATAAAGTTGTCGCATCCCACATAAAATACACCCACTTATCGCATCATATTGATGCAATAATATATTATGTCGCATCACACATATGCGATACCCCCTGATCGCACCTCAAGGATACGATAACATTTTCTTGTATCACACGCATACGATAACCCAAACTTGTCGCACCTTAATGATGCGATAACCACCCTTGTCGCATCCGATAATAGTAACTACCATACTAGTGCGATAAACTCAACTTGTCGCATCCAACATATGCGATAAAAATAACGCTTTGAATCAAACCTAATCTCATCGCATCACACTATGCGATAACAATCACACTTATCACATCATATAAATGCAATAACAGAATCTCATGATCAAAAGATCATCATTTCCAGAATTTGATTTGTCACCCTTATCCCAGTATACCTAGCTCTTGATTATGTCACTTTTATTACAAAGATATATTCAGCTCTTGATTATATCACCCTTATTACAAAGATATCCCCAACTCCTAATTATGCCTCCTTCATTACCAAAAATACTCATCTCCTGATTATGCCACCCTTATTACAATCAGATGATAAAATCATATCAAAACCCAAATTTATGCCAAAAATAGCATATAAACATCACATATTCACGTATGAAACTTTACGATTTCTTCACCCAAAAATACATTACATGATGTGTTCAAAGTAAAACTCACCTTGTAAAACACATAAATGAATATGATAAACAACAACCAAATTAGAAATTAATCACAAATGCTTCTTCTTTCCTTCTTCATTTTTTGTTGCTCGAACCCAGGAACACAAACACACAGAAGACTCCTTTTTCTCTCTTTTCAAAACCCAAGTAGATAATCAAAATATCTCAATTATCATGCATATAATATATGAGGCGGTGATGGTTTTAAATACTTTAAGCATATTTTTAAAACAACCCCTCAACTTTCTGTCATTAATCAAAAGTAACCCCAAACTTTATAACCGATAACCCGGTTATAACACTCGTGGAAGGCATTTTGGAAGAATTTTGATTTAAATTCAAAGCTGGAAATTATTTGTCGATTTAATTGTCTAAGTAGTACATTTAAGTCTTCCTACTTTTGGCTATTGTGTACTTGTTAGCAAACTTTGGCTCCAAGTTTCTTGCAAATTACTCTTTTGTCCCCCCTCCTAGTTTAGTATAAATAGGTGGTTTGAGATTAATCTTTTGGTATGCACTTCCAAGCCATTATTGAAGGGTTGTATGAAGTTCCATAGCATTTCTACAACATTCTAGTTTTCCTTTATTTATTACACTTTTTGTCTTTATATTCCATTCTTAAATAAAGTCATTTAATTTCATGTCTTTACTTATTACAATTTACATTTCTTGCAATTTTCTTTTCGTCACGAGTAGCTAAATCTCTTAGCTTGGGTGTAAGACGAAAGAGGTGAGTTTATAAATCAAAAGAAAGTAGATCATTTTATGTAACAACAAAGTTTTATTATTTTATTTCAAGTTTCATAAAACTAATGACATTTCTCGACGATGATATGGGAAGTAGGCTTTAGAGAGTTGCTGACAAAGAGATTTATTATACTCTATGTTTTTCAAATTGGTTAATTCTCGATAGACTGATCACTTTGAAGTGTTAAAATGAAATGGACTCGGAGATGAGCTATTCAAAACACGTCGCCTTGAATGATATGGGAATCCACTCGAAAGAGTGATTTTTAACAAATAAATTTGTTTATCCATATATTTTGAGGACACATGGACCAGTCAAAGTAGAGGCATTTCCATTCCTTTTATTAAAAAAATTGTTCTTTATCTAATCAAAATCCGCATGGACCAAAATCACAAAATCTATTTTGATTTGGTAAAAAACAAAAAATGATAAAATAATAAAAATGAATTACATTTAATGGAATTCCTTTAACAGCTACTAGAGAAAAGTATCAAATCCAGATATTTTTACAAACCAAATTATTCCAATAATCACATATTTGATTTGAGCTAGATCCCCTCAACGTCAGGCCGAGCGGTTTCTGCATCTGACGTAGTTTCAGAGTCACTTGACCACCCCCTAGAGATACTTTTTGTCAATAAACAAATACCAGGACCGAACCTCCACCAATAACTAAAACTATATAGTCAAATTCGGGAAGAAAAAAACCGATTGTATGGGAAATACTTAATAATAACCAATCTTGTAATTCTAAAATTATTATTCTGGCAAACCATATGAAACAAATTTATAGTTTAGTCTAGAGATGGCCAAAAACCAGTCCTCGGCCGGGCTAGGCCGGGCCTAATTGGTCCCAAACTTTCTCATAACCGGCCATAACCGGTCGCGGTCGAAAATAGTAGGAACGGTCAAGGTACTTCATAACCGGTTATGGGTCGTCGGTCCCGGCATTAAAAAATAAGATTTTTTAAAAAAAATTTAATGATATATATTTTTAATACATTATAAAATTTACAATTTAGTCCCTCAAATACACTTTAAAAATACGTTTTAATATAATCAAAATTACATTGTCTTATAAAAATACATTATAAAATTATTTAAAAATACATTTATTTATAAAATTATTTGAATTTTTGGGTCGGGCCGGTCCATAGCCAGTCCCATAATCGGTCCCGATCCCACGAAACTATCAAAAACTCCAACCAGTCCTAGTTTTCGATCCTATAACCGGTCCTTACCAGTCCCGGGCCAGACTGGTCCCAGTACCGATCCTCATATGGTCCTGGGCCGGGCCGATTTGGCTGTCACTAGTTTAGTCTAATAGTTAGGCCCAATAATAGAGGCCAAACTTGAAAGGCCCAAAAACAAAAGCATATTCCTTCTTCACCTAACACTATCGACCTGATTTCCGAATCGCGATAAACACGTTCCAATGTTGCGAGACTTCAGTTTCTTGCGTACCCACAGACCGCTAGGTTCCAAGAGTTGAACACACACCAACGCCACTCTTACTTTGCTTTGCTTTGCTTTGCTTTCCTCCGAGTCCACCCCTTTGATCAAAAGGGTTTCTTCCCAAATCTCTCTTTTCATCAATCTTTGATTTCGATTTCGAGTATTTATAATCGGAAAAGATGTTGTTGAATCTTCTTCCATCGTCATCTGTCACTTTCTCAAAGTCACACCATAAATACCCCATTAATAATCCTTCGAATCTTGCATCCAAAACCTCCATTCCTCATCGATTGACGCAATCGAAGTTGAAAGTCTCAATCTTGAACCAAATCCACAACCACCCATTTGAACATCCTTCTTCAACACCCACTTCTCAGATCTATGGTGTCAGCAAGTTTCTCAAAACCCCATTTCGATTTGGGAGTTTTGGGGGCAAACCCACTTCACAGATCGTTAAATCAGCCTCTGAAAGTTCTGAAACGCCCCAAGATTTGACCCCAGATGGAGAAATTGAAAAGAAATCGAACAAAACTCTTCAGCTTGCGATTGTATTTGGGTTTTGGTACTTCCAGAACATTGTTTTCAATATCTACAATAAGAAAGCTCTCAACATTTTCCCATATCCATGGCTTCTTGCTTCGTTTCAGCTCTTTGTTGGTTCTTTATGGATGTTGGTGCTTTGGGGTTTCAAGCTTCAACCTTGCCCCAAAATTGACAAATCTTTCATAATCGCTCTTCTTGGCCCTGCTCTGTTTCACACAATTGGTCACATTTCTGCTTGTGTTTCATTCTCTAAAGTTGCTGTTTCTTTCACTCATGTTATCAAATCGGCCGAACCCGTTTTCTCCGTCGTCTTTTCGTCGGCCCTCGGAACCACTTACCCTCTATCCGTTTGGTTATCAATTTTGCCAATTGTTATGGGTTGTTCTTTAGCTGCAGTTACTGAGGTTTCCTTCAATCTTGGTGGGTTATGGGGTGCTTTGATCAGCAATGTGGGATTCGTTCTTCGGAACATTTACTCGAAAAAGAGTTTGCAGAACTTTAAACAAGTAAATGGATTGAATCTATACGGTTGGATCACGATCCTTTCGTTCTTTTACCTGTTTCCGGTGGCGATTTTTGTCGAAGGATCTCAATGGGTTCCGGGGTATTACAAAGCAATCGAAACCATTGGAAAACCATCTACATTCTATCTATGGGTGATGCTATCTGGGGTGTTTTACCATCTTTATAACCAATCTTCTTATCAAGCACTCGATGATATCAGTCCGTTAACGTTTTCAGTTGGAAACACGATGAAACGGGTGGTTGTGATCATTTCGACTGTGTTGGTTTTCAGAAATCCAGTTAGGCCATTGAATGGACTTGGATCTGCCATTGCTATCTTGGGTACTTTCTTGTATTCACAGGCAACATCAAAGAAGAAGGCTGCAGTTGAAAAGAAGGAGGATTAAGGAGGCTTCCATATGGGTTCATTTCTTTTTTCTTACTTGTTAGAACTTTTGGGTATTGAATCCTAGTTTTAGAAGTTAATTTGGGGGTGGGGGGTGGTTACTTTGTGCTTGGTTGATTGAACTAGGGTTAGTTCTTGTTGTGGCTCTGATGTTAGACTTTGGTATCAATCATACTTTTCATGAGCAAATTGAATCAAGAATCTTTTCAAGAAACTAGTAGTTGATGAACTTTTTTTTTTATTAACCTGGATATCCAACCCGTTATATAAGTCTGACTAATCCTAGGGCGACCATCTGCTTTGCAGGATAGCCTTGAGTCACTGCATGTGAACCTCCGTAGCCACAAGGGGATTTTTATACCTCCTGGTGCTTTTGACCTTTGGAGTCAAGCTCAAACCAATAAAGCACCATCCTTGTTTCTATGTTTGTATGTTTGTGGTTCTTTGTGATGTGTAGCATCATTTGCATGTTTCTTTCTTGTAGATATATGTTTTAGAATCTACTTTCGGGTGAGATATATTGCCCATGTTTTGTTTGGCTTACGGGGTGCCTTTGGTTGGTGGATTGGATTGGTGGGCGAGAATGACGTTGGCAGGTGGAAATTTTGTGACGGGTTTTAGGGTTTTAATTTGATAGAGAAAGTTTAGTAATTTTCCGGTTGGTGGTGTTGTATGCATCCGCTATTTATGTCAGAATCAGGTCCAATCATATATTGAAAATGGAAAAAAAAAAAAAAACAAATTAATGGTGATGTGTGAGAAAATTAGGAGGTAGGAATGCATTTAACCTACCATTATGCCACTCTTGTAGTCTCCATATTTTTGTCCCACTTTAGTTTGTCTTAGGGGTTGTTTGGCAGTTGCTGAATGGTTTGGTGTATAATGATTAAGAGGCTTTCATGATATAGTGCAAAATGAAATATAATTGTTTGGTAATTGTTTACAATAAAATTAGTGTGCTTAATGGTTAAGGGAGACATATGATACAAAATCATTCAGAGAATTTTAGAACCATTAAGAGGCAGATTTTTTTTTACCAAACAAGATTCACCTCTTAATTATTCAGATGTGGCCTCTTAATGGAACTGTTAAAAGGTAAACAAACAATCCCTTAGGCTCTTAGCCTAGTGTATAATTGTATCGTGGGACGAGAAGTTTTTGTTCTGTTGTGGACCGTTTTTTCTTACAGGTGCCCATAGACAGTTGTTCGAGTTGGGATTTTATGAACATGATGGATGAATGTGTCCATTGTTTATGCTTTCGGGTAGTGATTAGAGATGCAGAAAGGATTTGAGTTGAGCTATTCTAGGCTCGGGTCTTTTGTAACTAGGTTTTTCTTGAACGTAGATCACCATGTAAGCTTCGTTTCCAAACTTAGCGGATTGATTGTTGTGTATAAAGACTCGTTTATTGTATGCTGAAAGAATGACAAACCACTCTCATTTGTAAAAACCCTACAAACTAATCTTATCTATCCATTTTCTTGATCAATGGTCAAGATTAAATGAATTTATATTATGAAATAAAAAAATAAAAAAAGTTTAATTTTTAATTAAAAAAAGGCAAATATGTCAAATCCCCAATATGATTAAATGAGTTTATATTAGGAAATTAAATGAGTTTATATTAGAAAATAAAAAAAGGTTTAATTTTTAATTTCTAAATATTATAAACAAAATAACATCCAACTTAAAATAGATCCAAATAAGGACCGATGAAATTAAGTATATCTTAATAAATTATGAAACATACTTTATTATAATTAACAACACATAATAAAACCTTTTGAATACTAAAGCAAATTTCTTGTACCATTAAATGAATGAATGAAACTGTTTCACCGTTTATTTAACGAACTCACGTGACTCCTTCTCACCTACAATGAATTAGGTATATTCTAATAAATTATGAAACACTAGTTGTGTACCCGCGCAAGGCGGCGGGAGCCATGAATTTTAACGATTTTGAAGTTGCACTGGTTTTATAAGATAAGATTTAACGATGGTATATGTTACACTTGGTCTTTATATATTAATACAATTTGAATAAATAAGAGTTATGGTTCCAATTACAGACTATCGATGAAAAAAAATTGTATGACAGTTTAAAATCCAATATATTTATCCCCAACATATTTAAACAACTTCACAAATGTGTTCGATTTACACCAAGAGCAAAAACGCAAGAAACTTGAGTTTTAAGATAAACACTCAAAACTAATAAAGAAAACTACAAATTTGACAGATCATAAGCCATGAAAAGACCAAAAAAGATGGGTTTTAAAATGAAATTTCAACTGTTTACCCTCTTTCTTGTCCAGAAATCCAAAAAAACCCAAGAAGATATTAATTCAGAACATATTATACAGTGCAATTTGGACAGCTTAACCCCAAAATATATAGTATATATATAAATAAATAACTATAAAAGTATAAGTCGTAAATATTAAAATATTTTTCACAGTATATATAAAAATATAATTAAGTCAAAAACTATTCAATATTGGACTCGTTTTGAAAGTATTAATGAGACGATTATAATGGTGTAACTTGTTAAAATAAAAATGTATTTTTTAAACATGTTTTAATTGATATACGATTATGTATGTTAATTTGATAAAGATTTAAAATGAAACATTTAAAAGTAAAGAACGTAAAGTAAATTAATTAACTAATTATAAGGGTATAAAGTATAAATTTGAAATTGTAATTTTAAAAAAATCGGTTGTGAGAGGGTGAGTGTATGTGAGGAGAGGAGGGGGTGAAAAAATGACTAAAGGGTAGTATAAAGGGTATCTTGGTCATTTAGAATTTTAAGACTTTAAGACTTTTGCTAAATTTGCTTAATAAGATAGTATAGATAAAACATACTATAATCAACAAAAATATAATGAAACATTTTGAATACTAAAGCAAACATTTTGTATCATTAAATCATTGAATGAAACTGTTTCACCATTTATAGAACGAACTTACGTGACTCCTTGTCACCTACAATGAAAGACGAACCGATTGTCATGTAGTTTTGAACGATAATTGCAAACTATTTCATTAACGGTTATTGAATTAGTATTGGACTATTAATAATTTTTAATCAAAATAATTTTAAAAAAAGGGATGTCCTAATAAACATGAAACATATAAAGAATGAAACATTTTTAAAAATTTAATGAAACATTTTGAAAAATGAATATTTTTTTTATTTAATGAACGTTTTTCATGCATAAAACGTTCCGAAATATTAATAAATTAAATTCATCAGGGAAATTGTGTTCATGATCGCTATTGAACATGACACTCATTTCATTACTCAAAATACATATATTTTTTCAATGAAACGAACACATATTTCATATTCTACTGCTTTTACAATTCATATTTTAATAAGTACTGGAATGGTACTCGTCCAATGCAGCGAGATACACCTTGATTTTAATATTTCATTTTATTCTTTATCTCAGTCGATGTTACAGTATGGTCTTATGTGATTTTGAAAAAAACGATGATGTTTTTATTTTTGAATAAAATATAAATTTGAAGATATTATAAAAAATTGACAAAAATATATCGATATTATTATCAAATCAACTACTTAAAATTCTTATTTTTTGTTTAATTTTTTTATTCAGTTTTTTAGGTTCAATAACGAAATAATTTATATTTAGTTTAATAATATAATTTTCTTATAAAGATAATAATTAATTATTTTGTTAGAACTCGATAATTATCCTAATTATATTTTAGATCTTTTGTATTTTAAAATGAGATGTTTATTCTACTATTTGATTATGTTTATCCGCAGCTAGTTACACGAATTCAAACATAGAGCTTTAATAAGTTGTACTTATGCATAATTTATTTGTAATATTGAATTTTAAGTAATATGCATCAATATACAGTACTTCATACATAAAAAATAGTTTTTAAGAGTTTTTAGCGACCATGTATGTCGATCAATACACACAAAGGCAAGTAGAAGTGACTGGACAAAACTCTTGGCTAGCCACGAAGAACATGTCTTCCGTTCTTCACATTTTATAGGTCTACAGAGTTTGTAAAAAATAGCTTTTAACAAGTACAAAACAAGTTTCCATTAAAAAAATTATCATAAAAAATAAAAAAGAATATTAATTATTCGTGCAAATCAATTTCCCTGAGTATCCTTAGACATAAAATCCATTTATAATAGTGTTTAACTAATATTTTCAGTACATAATATTGTCAAAATGTTCCGTCATGAAATACGCCATATGATACATCTACCTTCTGTACGTGAGCAAAAAAAGATAACAGTATGCATTGAAGTAAAAATATATAACAAAAGCACATACAGTGACAAACTAAAAGATCTTAAAAGCTAAAGCTTAAAGTCGTTGTCTATTGAATTGTTAAAGCACGAAAGCTGTCAAATAGTCAAGCTGATAAAGATAGCAATAACTAATATTATTGGACATTGGTACCAGATAAAAAATATATTAGAATAAGCGATAAACAAGTAATAAAATAAATAAATACATTTTGGGCCCTTCTTATATACTAAATATACCGAGCCGAGCCTCTTGTATCTGCTAGTTTTTTTGCTAGTATATATACTAAATAAATTCTTTGGGCCATAGACCGATACCGGCTTCACCCACTGTAACAACCCTCACATCTCAAATACATATAAT